TATATATATATATATATATATATATATATATATATATATATATATATATATATATATATATATATATATATATATATATATATATATATATATATATATATATATATATATATATATATATATATATATATATATATATATATATATATATACAGTCTCACATTACGCGGTTAATGTAACCCGGAGGGTACCGCGGAAAGTGAGGAACGCGTAAAGTGAATAACATAACATATGGGATTAATTGAAATGGAGTCCGGGCCGATCCCCAAACTCCACTTTTTGACGACACACAACTATGTTGTAGTAAAAATTTTATCTTAACTTTATGATGGTATGAAAAAACAAGTAATATAGAAGAGGTTAGGTTAGGAAAGATAAAGGTTAACATAGGAAAAATAAAGGTAAGGTTAGAAAACTAAAAATTAGGTGTAACTTACGGTAGTAGAAGAGATGGGTCGGCATACGGGGATGGAGGCTGGTTCCGAGGCAGAGGGCAGATTACTGGCCCTCAGGTGAATCACCATTACTAGGTGAATCACCATCACTGTCACTTACAGTTGTCAGGGCTTCCCTGACAAATCCCTCAAAGTCATCTTCACTGCCACTATCACTGGCTTGGGCTGGCTGTGGTGGGTTGCGGGCGAAGAAATCTGTTATGCTTTGCTGACGGCTGGCGTTGATGTTGTCGTGATACACCTTGATGTACGGCTCCATAGCCTGCACCAGCCGGGTATGGAAGACTTCATAGCGGTCATCGTCATTGTCGCGGGAAAGGAAGGACTTCATCTTCTCTGCACACTCCATGGCACCCTTAATATCACTATGACTTAAATTGTGTTCTTCGGAGACTGACGCACCTTCTTCCTCCTCTTCACTGACGTGTTCTTCTTCCAACATCTCGTCGGCAGTCACTTCAGGATCTCTGATCACCTCCAGGATGTCGTCGTTGGTGGTCTCGGAGAAGCCTGGAACTGTAACAGTCTGCGCAGCTTCTCTGGCAAGGTCCACTGCTACTGCAACATTCTGAACCTCACCAGTCACAGATTGACTCCTCCTCTCACCTGGTATTCCATGCAACACATGTCTCCATGCGTGACGAATTGTAGCAATAGACAGCTGATCCCATGACTCCACCAAGAAGTCCACAGCTTTCTTGATGTTAAATACTCTCCAGAATTGTTTGAAGAGTATTTTTTGCTGTTCTAACTGTTGATCCTCATCTTCTTCGCTCTTGCTATCGGTGGTGGTGTCACTCAGGTTACGCAACTCTTCCCTGGTGTTGGTGTAGTCGTTCAGGAGCTGGAATTTTTTGTTGAGAATGCAGCTTTCACATTGCAAATCAACTCCTGGTCCATGGGCTGGATTAAAGACGTAGTGTTGGGAGGAAGGAAGACCACTTTTACGTTGGGGTGACGATCTAACAGTAGGGGCGAGTGTCCTGGTGCGTTGTCCAGCAGCAACAAAATATTAAATGGGACATTCTGTCGCTCACAGAATTTCTTTACATCGGGAACAAAACAGTCATCAAACCAGGAGAGGGACAGTGTAGAGAACATCCATGCCTTACGTGCTGTCAGCCAGTGGACATTTAGCTTGGTCATGTCCATGCTCTTGTAGGCGTGCGGCTTGCGGGCTGTGTGGATCACCGATAACTTGAGCTTACAGGTACCGGAGGCATTGGTGGTAAACAGGACGGTGATGCGTTCCTTCTGCATTTTCCGGCCCCGAATCCTGCTGGCATTCTTCACAACGAAGGACTTGGAAGGTAGTTTTTTCCAGAAAAGACCAGATTCGTCCATGTTAAACACCTGGTCGTCGGTGGACTGTCCTTCCTCCATAATCTCACGTAAAAACGGAGGAAATTCCCGAGCCGCAGCACGATCAGCACTCGCTTCTTCACCACCAATGTTTATATTGGTGATCTTGTTCCGGATCTTAAACCTCTGTAACCACCCAGAGGAAGCATTAAAGGGTTTGGGCTCTGAAGTTCCCATCTTTCGTGCCACTGCCATGTACAGTTCACGTGCGTAGTCCTTAACAGAGCGCGTGTCGACCGCCATGTTCCGTCGCGCCTGACGCACCAAGTACCTCACAAGTAATTTTTCTGTCTTGAGAAGCACCTGGTTGTGAAAATACTTGATCATAGAAGCACCTGTAGACTTTGTGATCTTCATGTGCTCCTTTATCTTGGCTGAATCCTTCTTTATAGTCCGGATCGTAGATGATGCTATACTTCACCTCGTAGCTTAAGGAACGTCGTGTCTTCTTTGGTTTAGTGCCGCTGGGTCCAGGTAAGGAAAGGTTTCTCTCTGGGGGTGGTGGTCCGGCGGAAGCCATTTTACAGAACAATGGATGCGCGTTTACACGGAGTGGCCTTGAGGGATGAAACTGCCGCGGCTAGGTCAAGCGTCGTCTTTCCTCCCTCCCTCCCTCCCCCGGGTGGACACGTCATAATACTTTAAGCCAATTACAGCTAGCAGCAGAGGAGGGTAGGGATGCATGGCCAATCACAGGTCTGATACGTCATATGACGTCAGTGATAACGCAACAAAGACACACACTGCGCAACCTTACCGCGCCGCTTGCCCAAGCGGAGGGAGGAGGAGGGAGAGGCAGGCAGGCGGGCGGGTGGGGCGAATCTAAAAATAGCGTCGCGCCGGACACTCTCCGCGTAATGGGGTTCACGTACCGCGTAATGTGAGCACGTGAGGTTCTGGCAAGGCACCGCGTTAACATGGAAACGCGGAATGCGGGACCGCGTAAAGTGAGGGTTAACTGTATATATATATATAAATATATATATATATATAAATATATATATATAAATATATATATATAAATATATATATATATATATATATATATATATATATATATATAAATATATATATATATATATATAAATATATATATATAAATATATATATATATATATATATATATATATATATATATATATATATATATATAAAAGACTCATTTACATGCTTAAAGGCAAAAACTAAGTTTAAGTTCTTCTTAATGCATGGGAAAAATATTCTACTTTTACATCTGAAAGTTTTAAAGAACTCAATTAAGTACAGTTGGAGAGAGAGAGAGAGAGACGGGCAGTAGCAACTTGGCTCCCATGGACCCATATAACATCTAATCTGAACACATTAGAATCAAAGGGTCAGAGCCCAACCATAAACAGAAGCAGTCATCAGTTGTATTGGACAGTGACAACTTGGCTTCCTTACAATTAACCCTGTAAGAAAGTTTAGTATCGCCACTTTCACCAGTGCATAATAGTTCACTTCCATGTACAAGTATATATTGAACAACCAGAGGGACATAATGCATCCCTCCCTAACACTTATATTTATTTCAAATGTTTCACTTTCTTTCTCACTTACTCTTACTGTTGCCCTGCTGTTCTCATAGAATGCTTTTACTGCATTTTATACAGTTAGCCTTCCCCCACCCCATATACTTGTAATGCCTCCCACAATGCTTTTCTGTTAGCCCTATCATATGCCTTTTCCAAATCTACTATGAATCGTTAAAACCATCCGTAAGTAATAAAAACCAATAAAATACTCATTAAAATCAAGAAAAAGGCATAGATTATTGTTATTATTTTTTTATTTGCTTTAAACCATTTACTTTAAACCATTGGTTTAAATTGGCCAACCCTCTACAGTATTTCCTAGTGAAATACATAGTATTGTATAAGATATTGCAATTTCTCTCATTTTCACAATATTTCAAGGGTTCAATATGTTCAGATTTTACTTGGTTACTGACGGCTCAATAAAACACAGTTTTCACAGATGCAGTTTACTGGGAGAGGTCTGTACAGTGGTGTAGCAGGAAACAATCTGTCTCACAGGGTAATACACATGATCGCAAAACCTCGTGCTATGTCATCTAACTACTCAGACATCCAACTTCATTCACACCGCTAGGTGGCAGCACTCATGCATACGTCAATCACGCAACTAGAGGACAGCACTCGTGCACACTCTCATTTACGCCATACAGTGGTTCACTCGCTCGGCTCGTTCGCATTGCATTTTGTTGTTGTTTTGTTATGGGAATTAGCCCACCCAGGCACAGGTCACTGACCCACATCGGGGCCTGGGGGGCGAAAATTTAATAATAATAATAATAATAATAATAATAATAATAATAATAATAATAATAATAATAATAATAATAATAATAATAGTAAAGAACCACAAAGAAATACAAAATGAAAAAAAATCAAAAGTGAGGAACAATATATGTATGTTGTGTTGTCAATAGTAAGAGAAACAATTGAGACCCTGCAATTGTGTGTACATGAGGCAGAAAGTCAGATCAGCAACCTGGGACTTGGTCACAATTTTCGTGATGCCATGTGGCAGCAGGATCTACCATAGACAACACATTATGCTCCCAATATCTTCCCAGGCGGTAGTACCTCCCTGTTTGGTAGCTGCCTAATACCTACTACCTACACCACATGAACACCACATGTGGTGTAGGTAGTAATCTGCACATGACATTTTTAGTATTTTCATACTAACCTGGACCGTAAGCCATGCCCCTCTTATATAAAGATAGCTGATTTGTTCAAAGAAAATTTTCGTGTACAGTAGTTGTCCATTTATTCAAACTAAATATGTTCACAATTGGTAAACAGACTTGCTATTTTATAAAATAATGTAAAATATCAGGACTATCAAAATGCAAATGATTTCAAAGCATTAGCACCAGAGAGGATGTTAGACAATTTTAGATATTTATCATAAAAGGTCAAAGTCAAAGGTCTCCGGTTTCCTCCTGTACTAACACTGGATAGAGCACCCAAGTGGCTATTAAGCTGATAAGTGGCAAAATTATATAAAAAAAATAAAAATTTAAAATTTTAGGAAGTAGTGTAATATGAGTACAGGTACAGTATAAATTTGTTAAACATGTTGTACTGTTAACATCTGTACTATCGTTTGATTTATTGTGTATCTTCAAATTTCTAGGTGTAGCATTCAACCATTTGATGAAGCCAGGGAAGTCCTAAGTGAGATAAAACCCATCAGCAGGTGGTATGAAACACAATTAAAACAAAAACCAAGTGAGCACTGTAAAGTGATGCCTGACATATTAGACCTCTGTCACATCTTACCCAAGGAAGTGATTCACCTAAGTGGTGGAGGTAAAGGCTACAACGTTGACCCCGATGCTGCTGAAGATGAATACAAGGAGTTCCGGGTAAGCATTACATCCTGAGTGTCCTATAAACGATGAACTCCATGCCTGGTATGTGTAGTTTGTTATAGCAGTAAGACAAAAACAGTTTTATTTAACCCCTTCATTGTGGGGAAATGACTTTTGATACAGGTATTTTATTTGGCTAATGCCAGATGATTTTATTCAACAGAAGTGGTTAAAAAAATGGTATTTTGTTATGAAATTTTTATGAATGTTAAGATGCTGCTCTGTTCAGCCACTAGAACACAAGATACTGTACCTTCACCACATCTTTCTCTATATTCATCATGGAAGCTGACCTTGAGGTGATGTTTAAAATTTTGATTTAAATTTATTTGTATCTTTTAACTTACAAAATTCTCCTCCTGTGACCTTTCTTCCTTCATCCAGTCTTCTTAATTTTCTCTTTTCAGTATTGTGTTAGTGTGTGTGTGTAGTTCTGGATGGTTTATTCAGTACTGTACTATTACTATCAGTGTTTGAGTTACTCAGGGTTCGATAATAGCATCAGCTCTTTTATTGTTACTCATTAATGATCTTGTTGAACTGACAAGCAACTTTATTTTCTCCTATACATATGTCTTATAACCTTCATCAATTCAAATCAGTTTGCACAGATATCTTCAGTCTCTGGTGAATATGAATAGAAGGGTGTCTACTGGTCTGGAAAACCTGGAAAAGCCAGGGAATTTTACAAATAAATCTGGAATTTTATGTGAATTCAGTTCAACTTCAAAATATTGTTATTTTGACAGCAATCTTACCATAAGTTAATGATGTACTATATAATAGTTATTTAATTTTACTTTTAGGCACAAATTCCAGTAAATAGTTCACTCCAATAACTGAATTATTTGTGTACCTATCATATTTCATGCTATGGATCAAATAATCAAATATTACAGATTATTCCTACTAATTTTGTAATGGGTATTGTCCGAGATGAATTGTTCTTATAATTAAGAGACTTTATTAAAGTGGATTATTCCGCATATTAATCATGAGTCATATAGGTGGATCAGGAGTGTGATTTTTCTGTTTTTGCTGGATTTCCAGCTTTTTTGGAACGTCCAGGTTGACCCACGTGAATCGCATAAATCTAAAGAGAAAATTATGGTTTGGGTTGGGTTGCAAAAGGGTCTTCAATTTCTTGATAAATATCATTTATATCATCTTTAAATTTCCCAATTGTATATATACTTGTACTGTATATATATACGAGGTCTGTCCGGAAAATATCCAGCCATTTACTATTAAAAAAAATATTGCTTACCTAGGACAATGGCGCCTCGAAAAGTCAGGGAATTTTGTTTTGCCTGGCCTGTAGGCACCCTGAACAGTGACATTTGCCTGAATTCTTCCTGTAGTTTTCTCTATAGACAGAGGGCATTGGCTGGCAACTTACCGGTATATACAGTATGGGGTGAGGGGAGGGCGGGGGGGTGCTTGTGATGGTGGCTTGTGTTTATGTATTGTGTTGCCTTTGGAAAATAACCCAAATTTCCCTAAATCTATTCAGTTAAAGTGCCACCAGTGCATGAATTTTGTGGTCTCACAATGCAACCGTATTGTATTCATAGGATTAAGGTCCTGAAGAAAATCATTTGGCTATGCACAACAACTACTGTATCTGGACACATCACTTCTATATGGTTGGGGCATACTGCACCGTAATTGTATGTGGAAGAGTTAGATAGAGCTACTGTACACAAAGTCTTCTGTATTTGGTCTGGCAATTTGGTCTTCATTATACATCAGGGATGTATTCCAGAGAAATGCAACTTCTAGTGAACATTTCATAAGGAGGAATTTTCTCCCATAAGAATAATTGATGTAGCACTTAGGGTATAGTATACTGTATGCATTCCAACATGTACAGTAGGGTAATAGCCCTTGAAAGCTCAGGATGTGTTCCTGGAGAGAGAGCTTTCAGCAAATGAGCTTACAATGGAGTCATTATAACATAATTAACTGTACTGTACTGTACTGTCCAGTACAGTTATTTGATATGGAGATACATTCCTAAGAACAGTATTTGCTACCTTTGAGTGATACTTGATGACACGATTTGGCTACTTGTGCAAGAAGACAACTGATTAATAAATAAACCAGGGTATATGCAGGTGCATAAGACAATACTGTACAGTATTATTTATTAAGTGCTGATAAATACATTTTAATATTATGCAAAAAGTGCTGAAGACAGATGCTGTCATAAGCACGACGACATGGTGAGGGACGGTTTGGGCAATCATCTCTTTGCACAATGGAAACAAAGCTGCCAGGAATTTAATATGACGCAGCAACTCATCTAAGGTTGAGTGTGTGATTTTTGTGGGAACAATTTATTATTTTACAGTAGTGTTTTATTAATATGGTACCAAATGAACCTAAATAATTTGGGAATTAGTGACATCTCCTTTAGCCGGAACAATGGTGCAGAACACTTCTGAGAAAGAGAAATTTCTGGTTAACAAGACGACCCTTCCAAAGCCAGAAAAAACTCTCATCCCCGTAATTTTCCGGATACCCGAAATTTTTCTCGGAAGCTCCAGAAATTGAGAGGGATAGGTTCCAAGAAATGGCACGAATTGGCAAAACTGCAAATAGCAACTTATGCTACCTTAGTGCACTACTGTATACCTATACCAAACAACTGACCAGCCGTGGCAGTACTCATCCCCTCTTTTAACTTACCTAATAATAAAACTTTCTTTGTCAGGGTCATCACTGACTTCTGCCTTTTACATTTCACTCCACAGGCATCACTAGCACTGACACTAGGTAGTCTTTAACGGGCCATTTCACACAGAAACACTAAAGTTTTGAGAGCACAACACGAGATGCTGCATGGGGTAACTCGTTGTGCTGCAGGAAAAGGCTTGCAAGCAAGCCACCATAGCCACCATCTGCTTACCGCGAAACGTCGAAATTGCGAATTGCAAACTCGCGAATGGCAAGGGTCTACTGTACTGTACATCATATCTTTAACCTGGAAAAAATCCCCCATCCCCTGAAATTTTTGGGGTACCTAAATTTTCTCAGAATTTTCCAGAAGGATGCATTGCAGTATTTCATCTTTCAAACCTGGAAAAAAAATCCCCCATCCCCAGAATTTTCTGGAATTTTCCATGTACCGGAGAAATTTTCTTGTATTTTTCCAGAAAATGTGGCCCTTGGAAATTCGTTCTGAAACCTGTAATTTTCCAGGGAATTCCAGCTTTGGGATTGATTTTGCGAGAAAATTTCAGTTTCAGCTATCGGAGAATTCCGGTTAAGAGAGATTCTGTCAAACGGAGATACTGTATTATATACTATGTTGAAATTTCATTCTGTTGTTATAAAGGAACACAATCTAATGAGATTTATGTGAAAATACCATCTCGGTTATTATCCATTTACAACAGAAATAGTATTAGAGAAAGTGTTTACAATTGGTGAGATACAACTTCTGGTAAACCCAAAATTGCCCTAACCCAATTGAGAGTGAAACTTCAATAATACCATTTTTTTTAATATTATTGTAGGTACAGTATATAAGATTTTCTTTATTCATAAGGCACACAAGCACATTGAAAAGACTTTTCTGCAAATTGTGTGGTAACTTACATTTAACAAGGGCATAGCATTCAGTCGTATGAGAGGTGCTTGACGTGTTTTGGCGTGGTAGAAACTTAACACTTGTAGGGCACTTTTATTATGTATTATAGTTATTTTTACATTAAATTAGGTGTTTTTAACACTAATTATGCATCACATTTGGATACACACAGGCTTAGTATAAAACTGCCGACAACATACTTATATGTGAAACAAATGACATATAGCTAATGAAAATTTCTTCCTATATTTGTTAGCAACATATGAAATGTCATATTGTACAGTGTATATTGGTATGACGTATACTGAATACCCTTCTACTTTATTTTGAAATGAACTTTGTATACCATTCAAAGGCTTGGCTGCAGTGTTATTACCAGGATGGGATGAAGAACCTGGTGGATCATAATGGTCGCACAATGTGGTTTTCTGGAGAGCCTGGGCGCTTAACACCCAAAGGTTGGTTGACAGCTTATTGTACAGTGTAATGTTATTAAAAAAAAGATAAATTAAAAATATAATAACAAAAGAATATATACTATCACTAAACAGTGAGCATCCTGAATAGTAGTGGAGGTCCTCCTAGCTGACTGAAGCTGTGACATCACTCGCGAGCGGCTGCCCGATCGCCACACTACGAGCCACTCCACATAACTATTCTTTCTCTACTTTTCTTTAATAAGCATCACTTCAATAATAGAAGACTCACAAACTTAAACTAAGCACAGTAAACCCTCGCACTTTTGGACAATTAGGGGGGAAGAGGATATCTGGATGTGGCAAATGTCTGGATGAACCGGGGGAGGAAAAAGCTGATTGTTCGAATCTTCCAGTGAATGTACCAAATGTATAAAAACAATAAATAATTATATAAAAACACCAAATTGTATTTTACGGCATATAAAACTCACTGCCATATAAGATGCATCCCCTGTTTTAGCAGTGAGTATTTTGAAAATTTTTGTTGTGTCTTTTCCTCCCGTAGCCATAGTTTTCTTAAAATAATATATGCAGTACAGTATCAGGATGTGAGAAATAAATAAATATAATACAGTACCAACAAGTAAGTTACACCAAAAAATCCTTTTGGCAAACCAGTAAATAAAAGCCAAATGAAAGTTTAACACAATTGCCATTTGCATACACTCCCTGCTTCACCATAGTAACGAAAATCAGCTTGGACGCTGATTCCCTAGCAACACTCCCCCCAACCCTTACACTCTGTGCTCTCCTACCATTACATGCTTGCCCCTAAGACAATTATTTCTTTTACCTTTTCACAATATGTATGTAGGGTGGTGTGTGCATGTAACTGAGTAAAAATAAATGAAGAAAGTTATGTACAGTATATCGACCCAAAAATACGAGTTGAAAAACAACCATAACACTTCACAACTTGACCCAGCAGACAACGCGGACTGGGTCCATTTTAGCAGCGGGGGAGTAAATATGGACAGAGAGAGAGAGACCGGATAGGAATTTGTCACATCCAGATGTCAGTCTGGACCAGCCGAAATCCACATCTGAGAGGTCCAGAAGTGCGAGGGTTTACTCTACGTCTAAAGGCATGTCACTTTCCTTTGTGACGTCACTGTCAAGGTCACTCCTCTGTGTGGATAGTGGGCTTCTGTAATAATTCATTGTTGTTTGTTGTCAGGGATATATCATAGATTTCTCTATATGATTTATATAATTCATGATTCACTTGTATAAATGTAGTGTACAGTATAGTCTGCATTTACGCGGCTTTTATTTACGCGTTTGGCCATTTACGCGGTGCCTTGCCAGAATGAAAAAGCTTTAATTACGCGGTAAATTTGGTCATTTACGCGGCGAGCGGCTGGAGAGGTCTAGACTGCTGCGCCATTTTTTACCCACGCGGTCCATTCTTGACCATACAGTACGTGGGAAGTGGTGCGGTGAGTGGTGATCATTAGGCCACTCTTACGTTATCACTGACATCATATGACATATCGGACTGTGATTGGGCCACGCATCCTTACTACCCACGCATTCTCTCCGCCGCTAGCTGTGATTGGTCTAATGTAACATGACGTGCCCTGCCACCAGAGGGTAGAAGTCACTGACCTAGCAGGGCCTGTCTCATTGTTCTCAGTCTGCGTATACAGTTCTCTTTTGTGCCCGCTATTCCCCTCACAACTCACAATGGCTTCTGAACGGCCCCCACCACCAGAGAAAAACCTTGAATTACCTGGACCAAGCCATGATAATGTGAAGGAAATCATCGAGTTGGGGGAGAAACTTAAGCTCATCCTTGACAACGACCCAGACAAGCATTGGTATGAAGCGTCTAATAACCATCTGACGAAAGTTATGGAGCCGTATATCCAGATCTATCTCGATAACATCAATGCTAGCCGTCAACGTAGTATTGAGGACTTCCTCGCCCGCAACCCACCACAACCACAGCCAGCCCAAGTCAGTGATAGTGATATTGACAGTGAGGATATGGAGTTTGAGAGGTTTGTCTGGGAGGCCCTGTAAACCTCTGCGAGTAGTGAAAGTCAAAGTGATTCACCGGAGGGCAACTAATCTGTCCTCTGCCTCGGAACCAGCCGCCATCCACGTGTGCCGACCCAGCTTTTCTACTAACGTAAGTGTTAAAAAATCTAATATTATTGATATTTCTCTTAATTATTAATTGTGAGTGCATACCATCATAAAATTAAGATGTTATTTTTACTACAACGTACGTATTGTGTCGGAAAAAGTGGAGTTTGGGGGTCGGCCCAGTCTCTATTTCAATTAATCCCATATTTTCTGTTACAGTCAACCCTCGCTTTATGCGGTCCCACTTTACGCGTTTCCACGTTTACGCGGTACCCTGCCGAATACGGAATGCTCACTTTCCGCGGTGTGTGTACCCTTTTACGCGGAGAGCCGCGCGAGCAGGGTGCGCACAAGGTAGCCCAGTCATCAAAACATTACCGAGTTCTTCACCCGCCACCCACCACAGCCGGCCCAAGTCAGTGATAGTGATAATGATAGTGAGGATATGGACTTAATGGACTTTGAGGGGTTTGACAAAGAGGCCCTGCAAGCCTCTGTGGTGGATAGTGATACAATTGATACAAGTGATACAGGTGAGGGCCAATAATCTGCCCTCTGCCTCGGAATCAACCCCCCATCCCCGTGTGCCTAGCCATCTTTTCTACTAATGTAAGTGTTAAAAAACCTAGTATTATTGATATTTCTCTTAATTATTAATTGTGTGTGCATACCATCATAAAATTAATAAATTATTTTTACTACAACGTAGGTATTGTGTCTGAAAAAGTGGAGTTTGGGGGGTCGGCCCGGTCTCTATTTCAATTAATCCCATATGTTATGTTGTTTACTTTATGCGTTTCTCATTTTACGCGGGCCGCCGTGGGTTCAATTGACTGCGTAAAGTGAGGGTTCACTGTATTTCATTTACGCGTTTCTCGTTTTACGCAGTACACCACTGTATAAATAATAGTGTTGGATTACTATTATTATTAATAATTAGTCTGATGAACATAAATGGGCATCAGTTTTGTTCACTGGATTAAGAAGTCTCCTTTCCCATAAATCACTTTATAACCCAGGTGAATTAGTTTATAATAAATAAACAAAGATTCTTCCACTAGTTGAGTAATACAGTACAGGCTAGTGATAGTGGTCAAATTTTTAATTATGCTTAGATATAAATCTACATCTATTTGTTGCCACTACCTATCGCTATTTTCAGGATTATAAGTTAGGTGCTTATATGATTTTATTAATTTTAACTGGTCATATTGTTTTGAAGCACTTGATATGTAACTGTGATAAGATTAACATTTCAGGACATAAGATGTTGTTCCTTAATATTTCAGAGGTGACTTCAAGAGCAAAGGTTGAGAGGAAAAAATTGAAGAGGAATAAACAGGATAAAGTTATGACGGAAGAACAAAATTTCAAAGTACAAAAGATTGAAAAAAGAGATAAAGAAATAAAAGGTGACGGCCAAGAAGGAAAGAAACATGTATGTACCAAAAGTGGCGGAAGACGCAGGAGACAGCTGGACAAAATCGTAAAAGAGGAACCAGATTCTGTATGTGGACCCAGACCAGAAATTCAGAACAAACGAAACATCACAATCTACCAATCACCAAGGTCCTCAGTGACTACTGATAACATTAAGAAGAGAGGGGCAAAAGTGACAGATAAAACCTTAGTGAGGACTACACGTACCCCTCGTACTCCCAAGACATATGCAGTCCCAGTCAGACGATCTTCCAGACGGGTAATTTCTCAATGATGCCAAAAACTTATGGCTCTTTAATTACAATGTAAATTTTATATATTTTTTTATTTTAAATCTACTTCATTTATATGACAAGAATTTTGTTATGCTATACAGGTACTTCTGATAGTGTTAAAAGAGTGGTGACACATTGTGATCATTAGAGTTATGAAGGAGAGGTACCCATTATTTGTAACACTTGTATAATAATATGTATTAAACAGTCTTTTATCTATGTCAGTTTGTAAATTAATGAATAATAAAATGTCATTATGGTAACCTAGATTTTAAATATATTGTACCTATATTGTCTCACATTAGTACATTCACTGGCATAATAAGTACACAAAGGGGACGACCTACCGTATTTTACGGCATATAAGATGCATGGCCATAGTTTAAATAAAAAAAATATATTCAGTACCAGTGAATGTGAGGAATGAACGAAAATAATACCATTAAAATCCAAATAAAAGTTTAACACAGCTGCCATTTGCATACACATCCTGTACTCCATTTTGCCCATAGCAATGGTGATGCTACCTCCACTGATTCCCTAGCAATGGTCCCCCCCAACCACCAACCGCCCAACCTTACTTCCGCTCCCCCACTAAGCCAGCTGACTCATGTGCAAAGAAATGTACTGTACAGGTGCTCCTTTACTTACAAATATGACCATGGAATGTGACCATGATGAGAGAAATGTTTGACAATAAATAACAATAATTGACCCTCTAGGGTGGATGGGTCTGCCGCACAAGGATGATGAGCCAGTATACTGAGTATAGTGACTGCACTCTACATGTTCTTTCTTACATTAAATCAAATACACTATTTCTCTTTGGCTGAGTATTGCTTGTTTTGTATTCCATTCTTCGATTCTCAAGTATTTCATTGACCAAAGATCAATGACATCATACAATGCCATTATTAGAAGCATTATGTTACGAACCACGCCACCAATTGTCATGATCTACCTACCCAGCACTACGAACCACGCCATCTATTGTCCTGATCTACCTACCCAGCACCACGAGCAACGCCATCTAGGGACGAAACCCGAGTATGACTACTCTTAGTTACCACTCCGGGGTTTCCCTTCTCCATATCCTGGTTGTTGCGTCACCTCCTCAAAGTCTTCCTCGTCAGCTCCAGTTCGATGAGAGTTCAGTTCACTCTGGGAAGTGACCACAGGATCACCTATCCTGGAAACCTACGGCACAGTGACTACCTACCGTCTTCTACAATACTCAGCCTTACTCGTCAGCCATCTCAGCTCCGCACTTAAGTATTTGTAATCTTATATTGCCTCCCCACCTCCACCTTGCTTCAAATTATTGTATGTTGTATAAATATGTATATACTGTTAATGTTTAGGTTAAGTATGGTTAAGGGTAAATTATAGAAAGCTGAATATTTTGTTAAGGAATTTATGGTACTTTATTATACACAACAAAAACTCGCATCCTTTGTCTACCCTTTTATAGTCCGATTGTCTTTGTTTTTTTATTGTTGTTGCCTGTTGGGATCTGGGTAGACTTTTAACTATATTCTAAATCCCCAACTCGTAACAAATGGCGACCGTGACAGGACCGACCTTAAGTACCATATTCCTTCCCCCTTGTTACTCCTTGTTAATTATTCCTCCCAGTCACTTCTGTTCACAATTGCTTTACGGTGGTTTAAAGTTTCCTTCATATGTGTGTGCATATATTGGTATTACCGTACAGTAAGAGTGACAGACGTAGGATATTAGGTTCCAAGTGTCATAAGGCTTACCTGTTATTACACGTGGCAGTCGTGTAGTAAGTCTTATCGAGTGTAGGGAAGAATCCGGATCTGTTTAATGCCGTACCCTCACTCCAGAGTAGGCTGTTCCATAGTCACTAGTTTAGGGTGAAGTGATATCTTGGGACGCCCCGCTCTACCAGGACCCCATAATTATAAAGCCTCAATTATTGTTCTTCTCATTATCTCATTCGGGGTCAATCATAAAGTAACTCAAGGGTTGTTAATCCGGATCTTTATATTAATGCCGTAATACGCCCTTCCTGTTTACTCAAGGGTTGTTAATCCGGATCTTTATATAAATGCCGTAATACGCCCTTCCTGTTTCAAGTATCTAAGGGTTGTTAATCCGGATCTTTATATTAATGCCGTAATACGCCCTTCCTGTTTACTCAAGGGTTGTTAATCCGGATCTTTATATAAATGCGTAATACGCCCTTCCTGTTTCAAGTATCTAAGGGTTGTTAATCCGGATCTTTATATTAATGCCGTAATACGCCCTTCCTGTTTACTCAAGGGTTGTTAATCCGGATCTTTATATTAATGCCGTTATACGCCCTTCCTCTTTCAAGTCTCTTATCCTTATCTAAGGATCTTATCAGAAGAACAATATTCATAAGTGTAATTTCCCTAGGTATAACTTGGTTAGTTTCCGGGACTTTCTGGTTATCCACTGCCGTGATATTTTCTAGGGTAATCCTTATCTTATCTTTTGACCATTAATTAATTTATCTAGGTTTTCTTAATGGCCACCTCAGGATTTGTTAAACTTGGTAGTCCTGGAGGAGTGGAAGAGCAAGATACCATTTCACATCTTGAAGCATGTGGAGGAGCGTGGAGAGGTTAATTTAGGGCGTGCGGCTGAGCTGGCTGATGAGTACGCCTTGCTGGTGGAGTCACTGTGCCGTAGGGAACGTGGTACTTTCCGGCATGTTAGGTCCTCCTCTGATGATAACCTTGGGGACGTGAGTGGTAGGTCGAAAGGTCCCACACCTACCCCCCCTGATGCAACCAAGTTTTATTGTTCTTACTGTAAAAAACCAGGCCATACGATCCAGTCTTGTAAACACCCAAAGTGTCGAACTGCTAAAAGTAGTTCCCTGGATCCCAAATCCAAACCAATAGCAACCACCAATGTGGAAAGGCCCCATCAGGATCTCTTCTCTTCATTCACCTATGAGGGAAAAATTTCAATCATAGAGGGGTCTCGTTCTTTCCCTATTCGTATACTACGTGATACGGGCGCAGCACAATCTATCCTCCTGTTTAACGTCATTCCTGATATATCTACCGCATTTACTAATGAGAGTGTTCTAATTTCAGATCTCTCATCCCATTCTTCCTATCCCTTAGCTAAAGTGCACCTCCAATGTCCCTTGATTACTGGGGAAGTGCAAGTAGCCATTAGGAAAGATCCAATGCCTGTGAGTGGCATTCATTTATTATTGGGTAATGACTTGGTAGGAGATTTAGTGGTTCCCAACATAAAGACAGTCGACTCTCCCTTACCTGTCAACTCCACCACTGACCTTGAAGAAACTATTCCTCACCTTTTCCCATCTTGTGCTGTCACCCGGTCACAGAGTGTGCGAAATGGGCCCTCTTCGTCTAAAACCACCTCTAATATCTTCCTACCCACAGAAGATCTGTACAATACATTCATTAGTAAGGATGAGCTCATTAAAGCCCAACAATCTGATCCATCTTTGTTCAAACAGGTGATGAAAGACCTCAGTGTGGACCATTGTACATCTTCGGCTTACCACCCACAATCCCAAGGTTGCTTGGAACGGTTCCATCAAAACTTTCAAATCAATGCTAATAAACTATCTCCTCTCAACTATATAGTCCATACTCCTGATCGCAGAAAAGATTCACAACTTGTTCACATTAATCTCATGAAACTTTACCATTCCAGGCAGTCAGAGGAAGACATCCCAGAGGCTATAAGCCTACCTGTATTGCATACGGTTTTGTCAGGGCCGGAGCCGGAGACAGATGACATGGACCTATTGGAGAATTTAGACTTCCCTCTACCTAAAGAAAACCCTGCTAACAGTCACATACTCAACAACTTGGATGAGTATTTTTCTGTTCTGAATCCATCTCAAGCAAAAGATCTCACTAAGTTATTATCAACATTTCCTAAAGTCACGTCAGACCTCCCAGGGTTTTGCAATATACTTAAACATGATATTAAGCTAATCTCAGATGATGTACAACCCATTAGGCAATCAGCATATCGACTAAATCCACAAAAAAGAGAGATTATGAAAAAGGAGGTAGATTTTTTGTTAAAACATAACTTAGCTGAGCCTAGTACCTCCCCCTGGGCTTCACCTTGCCTTCTCATTCCAAAACCCGATAGCACTTTTCGTTTCTGTACCGATTATCGTAAAGTGAACCAGGTCACTGTCTCAGACTCCTACCCTTTACCTTTGATTGAAGATATAATAGACAGCATAGGCTGTGCAAAATTTATCAGTACGGTGGACTTATTGAAAGGATATTATCAAGTGGGACTCACGGATAGGGCAAAAATAATCTCAGCATTTATAACTCCATTTGGTCTTTTTCAATATTTGGTTATGGCGTTTGGCTTTTCTAATGCTCCGGCCACATTCCAGAGGGCCATCAATTACCTGATTCAGGACCTAGGTGGGACGTTCGCCTACCTGGATGACCTGGTGGTGGTGTCGGACGGCTGGGACGAACATCTGGTGCGTTTGGAGATACTGTTGGCACGACTGCAAGAGACTGGATTCACCATAAACCTGGCTAAATCTGCTTTTGGCCGGGCCTCAGTGACTTACCTGGGACATATCGTTGGGCATGGTATGGTGAGACCCAAGGATGCAAACGTTAAAGCCATCTTGTCCTTCCCCACTCCAAGGACGAGGAAGGAACTCATGCGCTTCCTGGGGATGTGCGGCTACTACCGTCGGTTCTGCAGTAACTTCTCCAGCGTGGCCGGACCCCTCACAGACCTTACCAGTTCTGCGGTCCCTTACATCTGGAACCAGAGGTGCGACCAGTCTTTCCACCGCCTCAAAGCCTTCCTTGCCTCCAAGCCTGTAGTCCACCCCCCTGACTACACCTTGCCCTTCCATCTGCAAATCGACGCTAGCGGTGTCGGAGTGGGGGCTGTGCTCCTACAACCCGACCCAACCACTGATGTCCTTCACCCTGTGGCATACTACTCCGCCAAGTTGAAAAAACATCAGACCAACTACTCGACCATAGAGAAGGAGGCCCTGGCTCTGGTGTTGGCAATAAAGAAGTTTGAATGTTACCTCCAGTCTTGCCCACAAACAACCCTAGTCTTCACCGACCATAACCCACTCACGTTCATCCAAACCAACAAGACCTCCAACCAGCGAATCCTCCGCTGGGCTCTCCTCACCCAGCCCTATAATCTACAAGTCCGGCACATAAAGGGGGTGGACAACCTGATTGCGGACTCCTTATCCCGAGCTCCAGTGGAAATGCAG